TCACTGACGGGGAACGTTTCTCACTGAATGTTCAACTCACCTGGAGGATCCACCATGAGCATTTTAGCATTTAGCATGTCAAACACACCCAGCATGCACCTGTTGGGTGTGTTTGATTTGGGTCACAGCGTGCTGGCCGGGTGGTGCAGGACGTCAGTGATTAATTGAGCTAGAACAAAGTATATTTACAGTGCTGTACTTGACTACAATATTGCCATATCTGTACTTAACCTGGAGTGTTTCCATTTCATACTCCTTAACACTACTCCACTACATTGAATGTTTGACTCCGCTACATTTATTTACTTTTTAAAGTACAAAATAATAAAACACTGTGCAAGGAGCCATTCTGCATTATAAGCACATTTCATTTTGATACTTTAAGTACATTTTATTAATAATACTTTTGCACTTCTAGCTCAGTACTATAACTTGTAATGGAATATTTTTAGACCATGGTATTTCAACTTTTACGTAAATAAATGATATGAGTACTTCTTCCACCACTAGATGCAACTTTTCTTGTTACACCAATGATGAGCTTCCTCTCTGCTGAAGCTGCTGATTTTGCTCTTTTCTTTGTTTTATTCTCACACAGTTTATCATGACTTCATATTTGTAAGCTCTGCTTTTTTAATCTACAACGAATGGAACTTGAAATGTGGCAAAGAAAAATATTTCAGATAAAATATACTTAAACAGAAGTACGACTGAAATGACATTGTTACAGTAACACAATTAAATGTAATTTGTTACTTCCGAACCTTGTGGTTATGTTTTAAAAAAAAGGGGGTAAATTATCTTTTACAGTCTAAATAAATAGTTTAACCAACTGTGTTCAAACTGTTTGTGTTGACATAAAACATTTAGTTTCAGTGAGATGTTGATTCAACTTGACAATATTGAGGGTGAATCTTTAACTCTATTCCTTAAAGTTGGGTCAAGGATACATTTTTTACAGTGTAGTACAGGCAGGATTAGTAGCAAATTATATGTAAATTTAGTGGCACAGTAGTAAAAGAAGCAGTGCGGTAATACTGCAGCAGCACTAGTATAAATAGTTACACTGTAGCATCAGTAGCCCCGTGAGCCACATGCAGCTTTTTGTCTGTTTATTTTTGACTCCTCTATTCACACCCTGTTGTCCTGCAGCGATATGAGATCCAATAATAAGACAAATGTATGCGGTGCTGACATGAAGATGTGTTGAGCTGTCTGTCTCACACAGAGTCACCGACCTTTGTGATCATCCGTGCTCACACCAGATTATCCTCTGGTACGAGTGTGTGTGGGCAGCCGTCTGTGTCCATCTGTGAGTCAGTCATCAGTTGGGCGAGCAGACACACACACACACACACACACGCACACGCACACACACACGTGGACGGGTATGACAAAGACATTGTTCAAGCCATGTTGACTCCGTCATCACCGTCATAATCCTGTGATGAACAAAACAGAGCTGGAGGGAGATGATGCAGGGAGTGGAGAACAAATAGAAACACCTTAGCGTTCAGTAGAATTACAGTAGATAGCCGAGGTTAAAGTTGAAGCAAGATTGCTGACACAAATCGTTAATTTGTGCGTAGGAATTATCATTGTTGAAACCTTTTTTTGTTCTTAAATGCTGATTTGGAACATCTCTAAGTGGCCTTCTACTACTCACAGAGCGTTGACAAGGTTAATAAAAACAAATACATTTCATGCTCTTGTCTCCTTGGAAGCTGCCTGCAAGCTATGAAAATTGATTTTCAAGGTACTTCCCATTGTTTTCAAATCTCTTCAGGTTCTTCCTCGTAACTTTTTTTGCAGACAGATTGCTGCGTCCAACTCATTCTCTCACATTAGTTGTTCCTCTCTCCGGGACTGAAGCCTCTGGTCATGTTGAAACTTTTTTCTGGGACAGACATATAAAGGGCTTTAGGTTATATTATAAACCTTGATCGGTTCACAGAGATATTTGTGGGTTGTTTTTCAGCAGATTACTTCTTCAGGTATTTATTACATAATGTGTCTCTTAAAGGAAAGGTGACCATTAAATGATTTGGTCTAATTTTACAGAGGTGTCTTATATAACAACTCTTTTGTTTCATTTTAGTAGTTTTTAGCCTCTCTAGCAGCATGGCTCTGCACCAGCGTCTGTCGGTCCAATGAAAGAACACTACATGGCCAAATGTTGACACCAAACAAAGTATGTGGAGACCGAAGCAAGCATTTACTAAAATGATTGTATAGAGTACATCATCTCCTGCAGACCAGCTCACAGACTGGCTTGTTGTGTGTAATTAGGTCAGTAGATCTCTTTGCTGGCAAATTCATGAATTATTGATTGGATATAGTCTGCCAATTTGGCAACTCTTTTTTTTCTTGTGAGTTCATTCATTTTCACTAGAGACTTTCCGTATAATGAATGAGCTCACGATGTGTTGGTGAATATAAATTAGGCAGCAGCTTTGTAGCAGCAGCTAGATTTTTTAGATATTTCACATGTGAAATGTAACATAATAATATAAATAAATTCACATGTACAATAAATGTGGGTTATAAATTGCTTGATCTACTGCCATACTGTATAAGCATGTATGGTTTTCAGACATTTCACACGTGAAGTATAGTATTAGGGCCTATTATAATATTATAAAAAAAAAAAAAAAAATTGAAACAAAGAGAACACCAAAGGAACAATCGAAAGTGATATTCCACAAATCTAGCCAGATGTGTCCGAATTGAGGTCACAGTGTCAGTCAGTTTGAAGCTACAGTGTGAGGAAATGAGACGGCTACGGTCAAGCCACAACTTCGATACCAGTCTCATATCTGTACAGTAAATATGAAGTCACCACCAGTAGTCTGCAAGCTCCCCGTAAAACCATGTGGATAAAATGGGGATTTTTTGTTGTCTAACTGCAGCAGATGCTCGGTAGACAGATTACTAACAGCCCACTTTCTCTTAAGCAAACAGATTCACTCAAAAGGAGGACAGACTCATTGTTTGTCTTGGACTGAGGGAGGTTTTGTAAGGAACTGCAGGGGGAAGATACAACAAACTGATGGAGTGCTGCCAACTAATGGTCAAAGAGCAGAGAAACTATGCAACACTCCGGCCCTCTCTGCTGAATAGACTGGCATTATAACCGGACAGCTTACATGTATATCAAATATTACATTTTTGGTAGTGTGTCTGGATATTTGTAAAGAGAAAAACACTGATTAATGTAGACAAATTTGTATAATAAGGAATATTACGAATCCTACTATATTGGAGGTATTAAGCACTCTACTTTGCCTCTGATTGGCTTACCCTGATATTCTTACGCTGATCAATCAAACTCCTCATGTCTAAATCTAACCAATCCAGCCAACGGATTCAATGCATACTAGCCAATCAGAGGCAGAGTGGGGCGGGTCATGCCTTCGCCATAGCCAGATTCGTAATTTAGCATCCAGGAAAGCCAGGGTAGTGACTGAAAAACACTTCCTTTGCCACTCCTCCAAAATCATTCCAAGTGAAAGGCAGGCCAGGAGGTTGTGCATCAGTGTGCGCTGAGTCCGTGTTGGGCCAGATGATTCTGCTGTGGTGTAACAAGGGTGGAACCAAACGCAGGACTCTGAAAGAGCCAGGAGCCAGGCCCACACACAGACAGCGAGGTGCTGGAAAGACAGGAGAGAGGGAAACACAAGAAACACTAGAGAGATCTGCAGAGACAAGGACACAGCTGTGATAGACAATATGTGGGCGTGATGGCACTCCTCGTGGACACACTTAAAAACAGGACAGTGATCATTATCTAGTCTCTCAGTCACAGTTAAGTTACAACTCTGGACAAATGCAAGATGGAAAGCAACAGATTGACATTGATTAAATATTGCATTTTATATGTTGATGCAAAAGCTAACTGCACTGAGCATACACACAAACCAAGACAACTGCATGGCTTCACTGACAGAAACAATGTAAGCAATAGATTTGTAAAAGGTATTAGTGGTGGGGAGGGGTCACATCCCCTGTGTTCACAGGTCTAAAGCTCACGTCACCCTTGATAATTATAATAAAAATAACTGCATCTCAAGTTTGCTCTGAAGCCCTGCAGTTCTACTTTGTTCCTTCTATTTACCCTGGTTCAAGCTAGACGGCACATTCTGGGAAGACGAATGAGAAAGGACAGGTGGGTACGCAGCAGTCTAAGCTGTTCAATGTATTTAGTGTCAAGAGCACTAAACGAAAGACAAACATGAATGGGGATTGACATGAAAGGATAGGATTGTATAAAGGTATGAATATTTGAGTGTGTTTAAAAGAAAACAACCCAAAAAAGAAACATAGGCCTCGGCTACTCAACATTGTTGAATTTTGAGAATTGCTTAAAACCCTGATTTTAAACTGATAGTATGTCTCAGAAATCTGCTTCAGAAGATCATGCATTACTTGTTTGGGGGCTCAGGGACCCCAGCTGTAAACATGGCTAAATACATATTGTGATTTTCTATGCTCCAGGCCTAACTGTGATTGATGCTGATAGTGTAATTATGCAGCAGTATCCCTCCCAAATCCCAAATGATTGTATTTTAAATTCCTTGTATTGGAGTAGGCTGCTATAACAGTAAAGAAGCCTAGCAGGGATTTAGACCTCTTGGATTCTAATCTCAAACATAAATAGCATCACTCTGTAGGATGCCATTAATGCCATACTGGAGCACGTTCCTGGGTGAATGACATTTTAGTCAAACCAAAGAAATAGCCTGTTTATTCGTGCATATCTCGGACATATGCTACATGAAATATCTGCTTATTCTGAGAAAGAGATAATCTTCTAATCATTTTGTGACCTTTATGATCCGAACAAGGAAAGCCCAGTTCGATGACTGCGCCCATCTGCGCTGCACCATGCCCAGGAGGTAATCGTCACTCCGGGATTACGCAAACTTTGACCTCCAGCACAGTCAACAGTAAAGCTCCTCAACTGAGATGCCTGCGCGACCAAATCCACCAGTGGCAACCGGTTTGTTGTCACATGACCAGCGTGCCTGCGCCGCTTGCCTTGAGTTGTCTTCTATTTCCGCGTTCAACCGAGGGGAGCGCTGGGCTGAATGCGTCTTCACGGCCGCTCTGAGTCCACCTTTCACGCCGCGGAACTGCGTCGCCGTGCGGGGATCAATTGGGCGGGGGGAGACTCGCGCAATCGCATCGCCTGGACCCACGCTGCAGTAGGACCATGCTCACGCGGGTGAAATCGGCGGTGGCCAATTTTATGGGAGGTATGATGGCTGGTGGCTCTAACGGTGACCACCCCGGCGGCTCGGATCTGCCGCTGAAATACCCGTACAGCAGACCGGAGTTCCTGGGACTATCGCTGGACGAGATTGAGTGCTCGGCGGATCACATTGCGAGACCGATCCTCATCCTGAAGGAGAGCAAACGGCTTCCGTGGTCCACCGGCTACGCAGAGTGAGTAACCTGTATGCGTCCATCTTTGCTCGCACAGCACACAAGAGCATCCTTTCCAAGTGCGTCCTTCCCCGAAAACCTTGAGATCACTCATCAAGGCGTAAACATGAGCACCAGCCGCTTTTATTATTATTTGTATTATGGCATGATTCATATGGAGCCAACATTAGAAATAGGCCAAGGTGAAGCAGCATGGCCTTTCAGGGATAAACATCACATTTGCCTATAGGACACAAACAGATAAGGTCTCTGTAATCTAGGCCATAAAGGAGTGCTTTATTATTGTGATGCAGTACTAATGATGCAAAAACACCTCAAACTTGTTATAGGTGCAGGCTCACTGTAAGACAGAAGATCATTGTGTTGTTATTTTTAAGAAATTGAGATGAACAAACTGCACCCTTTGAATAGTGATTTAATGGAACCTGTATGTATGAGGCTGGTCAGGAAAGCTCGCACAAATAGGTAGAAAAGTCACCGAGTTTACCACTTAACCTGTTTCATTGCTATGTTGTGCGCATAGTATTAATAGTACTGTCTCTCGGTAAAGCCAGTAAAACTTGACCGTGTACTTTAGGTATCTTTGCTCCTGTTCTTCTTGTCAGACACTAAAAGCCATCCTCCTCCATACTTGACACCTGAGACCAGAATCAGAACCGGACCTGAGATCATCCGTTGTATTATTGATATCACATCTTGTCTTTGGGCGTTCACAATCCATTTGGCTCCCCGCACCTTCCTGCCAAGGCTGTAATACACTGGCTGTGTGTAATTCTAAAAGGACATATTATAAACAGCATCCAGTGCAGCAGCTTGACTCACTAAAAGCAAAGTTATTCCTTTGCTTCTATAAACTGTGTCGATTACGGGACACAGTCGAGTACGGGAGTCTCGGGGTGGTCTGGTGATTAGCGAAGGCTGTCTCATAACTGTACAGGTCACAGTTCAGTCCTTGAGGCGATCCTATCAACACGGCCGTTCAGTGCCCTGGATCTATAAATTCTGTTTTGTTTTTTTTCCATGACATGAAGTCTTATCATCACGCTGTTGATATGCTGTGATGATAGAGCGCCCGTTTCCTTGAGCTTCATCGTTTAATCGATGATGTTAGACATTAAGTGGGAACGCTGTGTGCAGACACTCCCCATTATCTCTTTGCATCGAATGTTTCAACTTCAGCCGTCCTGCTGAGAACCCAACGACGTGCAAGTGCTGGTCATCTGAAGTCAGCCAATGCAGGGCTTCGACACAACTGACCATGTTGTCGGTCTCATTCCCTCACTCCTTGATAACATTTCAATTGATTGACCTTTTGATTAATTGACTGTTTCAGTACAAGATAGGTCTATATGGTCTCTGCCTGAAGAAATCCTTTGATTCTCATACACGCCCTCCACTATGCTTCCTCCTCTAATCTGCCATGAAGACTTTTTAATCTCAAGACAGAAAAGAAAGGAAACCATCACCCACTCCTATGTTCTAAAGTAGGTTGCATAATTCCAGTTAAAATGATAATACAGATTTTTTTGTAATTTTCTTGCTAATTGTGTATTTCATTATTAACTCCTAATGATTGCTAGTTTATGATTAAAACACAAAGCCAATTATTGTACTGGGGTTTCTGTTTCTTACTTAAACAGAATGAATAATTCTACAGGATCAGTTGAACAGCCCTACTTCATGAAGAGATGTCATGCTGCTGCCAGGAGTGTGTGTGTGTGTGTGTGTGTGTGTGTGTGTGTGCCAGCTTGGCGTAGCATCAGCCAGGACTGAGCCATACTGGGGATTTGTCAGCAGCTGGCTGACCAGCGGGTTTTGTTATTGTGAAATCGTACTGCCAGTGGAGAAATACCGAGTCCATATGAGATGATATGATGTGAGGGTTAACAGGGTCAGATAGCGATGGGTCTCTGGGTTAGCTGTTGGGGGTCATTTCAACATCCTGACTGCTGAGGTTATCCTGGCTCACAGAGCTGCTCCCCGTGGAGACAGGAAGAGCAGTTCCACGCTCCACGAGAAGGACTCTGATTCCCCCGTCGCTGAGTGGGTTCACTGTCAGGTCCAGTGAGCACAATCATCTGAATGGATCAGTGAATATTGCTCACCGCCTTCTCTTCTCCGGCGCACTTTTGCAGACAGGCTACATGTACTGCTGCTTTTCCTTCCCTGGGTTGTTTCCCACCCATTGTGTATACACCAGCTCCAAACACGAATGATTCTGCCCTTGTGCACTCAGTTCGCTGTTGGGGTGCAGTTCACAGTGCCGCTTTGCATTTCCAAAAAACGAGGCGGAAACTGCGTCTGATGCCTTCAGTGGAGTTAAATCAGGCGCGCTCTCTCCAGGAAGTCGGTGTTCGAGCTTGGGGTCGACCTCGCTGCCAAGTGACAGTTGACATACCTCAATAAGGTAATAATATGACTAGTTTACATCATTAAATTCCGGCTAGTGTACACATACAGCAGTTTGTACACTCTAAGTAAGTCCTGGTCCCTTCCTCTGAATTCTTTGGGTGCAGTCAAATGAAAACGTGATCAATAAATCCCTGAATTAACTGAGAGGTAAATAGATTATGACAACAATCATTACTTGCAGCCTTAGTTACATGACTACTTAACCTGGTCTATACTCATACCTTCTGTATGTTTATATTGATATTTGTGTTGGAGAACTTGGTTCCACCCTCCTCTACCTTTTTTTTTTTTTTTTTTTTTTTTTTTTTTTTTTAGCTCCAAGCTACTTTCTAGGAGGGAGACCAGTGATGGTACGAGAGGCGAGGCAGCGAAAAAGCTGTGGTTTGATTAAAAGTGATGTTCAACAAGTTAATCAAGGCTGGCAATGAGCATAAAATATAGTAGACAGACATCTCTCCAGTGGTGGAATGATTGATGCCAAAGCCAATTCTTTAGAGTTTCAACATGGTTCAAATGGGCTTCACCTTCACTCCCCCTCTCCTCCACGTCTTTCCTCTCGTCACCTCCTCCAGCTTGCTTGTTGCAATGGGAGAGTAGTGGCACTGAGAGGGAAAATGAGTTGTGACAAAGCTTCTCTTTCATTCATTATCCCTTTCACTCTACTGACCCAGTACCAACACAACTTTGCAACCTCAGCAGCAGTCCTATCAATACTTAATCAATAAACTGAACACGAGCACCACCACTGCACACCGTATGTTTTGTTTGTAGAGTGACGTACTTAGTATTGATATCTAAGTTAAAGGAACAGAGATAAGAAAGTAGATGTTAAACAGTATGAAGCGGGTGTTTTTGAATAAACGTAGGGCATGTGTTTACAAGATTAAAAAGGGTAAACACAACACAAACCTATCGTTAATGCCGGTTTATCCATAATACCACTTGGTTTTTCTTTAGTCTTTTCTACTATTTTTCACTGTAAAGGAGCTAAATTAAGTCAATGTGGAGAGGTCATGAGGAACCACATGACCACCACTTTTTTTTTGTTCTACACACAAAGCTTGCCACTGCTTAATCACATGATACAGCACATGTTCTGGTGTTGTTTCTGCTACATCAACACGGCCACATCGCTCTGAGGCAGAAACAACGTAATGCTGCCTCAGTTCAGGGCCAGCTTTCCTCAACCTGAGGCTCAACTACGAGTTAAGATTGAACGAGACTTGTTACGCACTTGCATAAGAACACCGTCGGATCATTCTTATCCTTATCTTAAATGACTTTTGTGAAAACTGAGACATTGCAGCAGAAAGTACAGTAGAAAAATAGATGCAAAGGAATATAGCAAATAAGTATTATTTAAACATAGCTAAAATCTGCAATAAGAAGTTATGCAAAACATTTAAAAGGGCCAATATAGATATAAAATATGTGGCAATGATATTGGAATATGAAGATAGGTTTCAGAATGTCCCATAAACGACCCGGTGGTGTCTGATAATGCCTTTGGAACAAAACTTCAGGTCATGTGTTGCCGAAATAGAAAGAGACTCCCACAAAGCAGGCACACGGTAGTTTACAGCTCTGACAGAGTAATTAAGGTCATGCCATCGTCTCAAATGGGAAGAAGTGAAATGGGGTAACCAAATATGACAGCCCTGCTCTCGGACACAACCCGTGCCTCAGGGTCTGGATGGCGTCTCCTCTCACATCAGAGATGAAAGGCTCCAAAGCTCAACTGTCTTTAATCTTGTGACCGTTCCAGGGTCAAATGACCGCGGCTCCCTGCAGCGCTTTGGTCTCAGACACGCATGATGGTGTCTGAGGTTTGTGGCCTCTATTCATCGTATGAAGTTAGGGGAAGGAGTTGAACACATTACCTACACATCACATACTGTATACTTGCATAATGTGACATGACATCATGATAACGTTATAATTGACACACCCAACACACGTTTTTACTGAATAGAGCAGGAACGCATCATGACATAAATGCATTTACAATGTAGTATTATCAGGGATCGGTGACTAGAAAGCATTAATGCCGATCTCTTGATCGCATATTTCTTACTGAATATCTACCAGTGACGATCGTCAGTAAAAGTTTATTTCACACTATGATGGTTAAACTGTGTATACACACTGTGATGGAGGATCCATACGGCTCACTGATCAACTATGGTCCGTGACACCACTGCTCAGTAGGCAAATTCGGTGTTTCATGTAAACCTGTCTTATTGACACACCGCAGGGAGTGTGTGCTATTATTAGTTTTCAGGACAGGGAAGTGGTGAATAGCCCATTGTGTAAGACTCTAATTAAAATCAATCTTACTGAGCGAAGGTCTGCCCAGTCAATATCCTGTCGCTTTTACAACCCACGGTGTTTTCTTAGCTGGAGACAGAGGGTCTGTGCTCTTCATTCCCAGGACCAATTAGGATTATTTATATAAGATCCTCCACAGGGAAGTAATCATGGCTGCCTCTCATATCAACAGGTAGCCTTATAATGTCTCATTTATTTGATGTGAGTCTCACTTGAGACATTGCTTAAAGAGACACACTACCAGTCTCTGAGTCTTAAAGCATAATAACTATGTATTTTTATGACAAATGTCTGTTGACATAAAAAGTGATAAAATTCCATTAACAAAAATATAAATTTAGATTTCGCATTTTGTCCCTGTCCATCTAACTTCTTGAGCTCCAATTATATAAGATACCATGTGCACCGTTTTAATAGGGCCACTGTAGACTTAGCATCTCCTACGGTGTGGCTAAATCCAGAATGCCCGGAGTATTGTGAAGCAGCGTGTGTTTGTCTACGACTACAGCAGCTCGCAGCAGCAGTACACCATCTGCCAGGGGTTGTATAATACATATTTACGTATCTTTCTGTCCTCTCACCTACATGCGTGGGTCTCAAATTGAAATGTGTATTCAAAGAGTGTGTATTTAGCTGACTTCATCTCACATTGTCTCCCTTTTTATTATTGGAAAAAAATATATGCTTGCCATGAAGGGAAACAGAAATTGAGTTTGTAAAGGGTTTATACTCCTAAGAATGTCATGTGGATTAAAGGTCACAGCTCGGAGGAGATTGCTATATGGAGGATATTGGAGCCCTTGAATTACCTGCAGCTGTGTCTCACCTTTCACCACCAACATTCAGGACATGTGCAAGTATAATCCAAGGCAGCTGTTACCAAACTGTTTTTGTTTCTGATGTGCTTGAAATGATTTGAGTGGTTGCATGCAAGGGGAGAACACTGTATTAACCATTTCTTCCTCTAAATACCCTTTTGATTTTGAATCTGTTTTCCAGTGCAGAGAAACGCAAGTCTTATTGAACCACAACAGTGCTGTTTGGCTCTAAATATAGTGGGAACCCGATTTGTTGTTGTACCCTCTGCAGTTAGATTGAATAGGTTCAAAGGGTGTTTTGTTAGCTGATATCGCCTGATCCAATTCCAATAGTACTAACCATCTATTTCCATTTGAAGTCTTAAGTGCAGCTTTGCTAAAACAGCATTGCCTGTTAATATTTCAGCTTGTTATAGGCATTATTGTACACTTGACACTGAAACAGGTAACTGTTCCTGTCTTGTCTTGTTGCTCAGAGTGCTTTGTCTCTTTCTGCTCTTTCCGTTGACCGAACCCTTGTTCTGTTTTTTAAAAATAATTTGAATAACTTTTCATAAAGAAGACTTTCTTTAGCCTAGAAACATGGAAGATCATTAAAAAATATTGAGTAGTCTTCTCAGCCATCTGATTGTGCGGAGTATTGTATTTATTATTCAAACTTCTGTTTAGTGCACACATCACTCCCGCCTATCTAGCACTACTAGATTTAGGGATTTCGTTAATTTATATGGTCAAAGGTATTGTAATATATAAGGCTTTTTAATGTCATATCCCTAATTTATTTAATATCATCTTATATTGATTTGTAATTAATTGTTATTATCTCTTTATCTTTTATGTTATGTGTGTTAAATTCCCTGTTTTCTGTCATTTTATCCCCTCTACATTTAGGGTGATCAATGCAGGAAAAAGCACATTAAATGAGGACCAGGCCTGCTGTGAGGTGCTGGTGGTGAAAAGGAGACCTGCAGGAATCTCCACACCCAACCGGACCCCTACGACCCGCAGGAGGTCTTCCCTGCCCAATGGAGAGGGCTCGGGCCCCCGGGAGTGCCCGGTGAGTCAAACACACAAGTCTGGTTCCATCAGGAAATATCCAGCTTTTCACCATCTCTGACATTCTGCGGACACATTTTATGACCACGGGAGGTGAGGAGTGAAAACTGGAGAACCAGCGTGCAAAATACCCGGTGGCATCGGGGGGGGGGGTGCCTAGTGCTCCAGTGTTGTGCTGAAGTCTTACACAGAGCCATTGTGAATAGATTTCATGGATGCAAGTCAACGCAATCAACTAGGCTTCATACGCTATGCACACACATCACCAAAGCTAATATCGTTAACAATACGGCCACGCACACAACCGCTTACTAATTAACTACTTGCAACAGAATTCACACAGCACCCTCACCTCACTCTCTCCCAGCAGGTCTATCACAATTCAGTCACAGCAACCATGGGCTAGAGATCGTAAAACATTCTGTTACCTTGAAAAGATCCACTGTTTTTAAGGTTGTACGGGGCAACATTAGGTTTTATAAAATACACAATATTCACACTGCCTGCCATTTGTAACAATGCCACCCACGGAGGAAGGCCTTAACAGAACCAACCCGGTATTCAATGGCAATTTAAGAGGAAACAGATCTTTCCCAAGACGCCCCCAAAGTTGAACTCTTGAGACTTTCAGAGGGTCTCGAGAGTCAATCAAAGTCGTATTTCTTACACTGTGGAGAATAAAATACAAACCAAAGTAAGATTAATTGCTTGGCTTGTACGTGGACAAATATGCATGCTGCTGACATCATGATTTCTGGGTATTGAAGAAAAATTTGAGAAAAAAACAATAAAAAAACTTCAGTGAGGTGAAAATTTTCTTTCTAAAAAAAATAGTTAAACAAGTCATGTTATTCCTTAATTTATTACATTTTTAAGTCGAAATTTTAAACATGGCTAAATAAGAATTTAAAAAATAATAATTTAATGTTTCAGTTCAAGTAAAAATGTTAATCCTGAGCCATATTTTTGATAACATGTCAATAGGGTCACAGACTCAAAGCGTCCACATTTTAGCATTTATTCACTGATGAAATCCAGGTAATGGTCAGAGTGGATGTAGTCCTTGAATGCCCCGGGGGGGTTCTGCTGTTGGGACCCACTGTCTCCTCATCCAGTCCCATCAGCGGTTTACTGGGGCGTACAGCACAGCGTCCTTCACACATCGCAGCCTCGGCCTCCAGCAGCTCTTGACAGCCACTAATATGGGCAGGCGGATACGAGTACATTTGCTCACAGAAACACACAGGCTTTAAAGTTCAACACGTGTCCTGCTGCAAGTACAGTATGTTGTGTACAATAAAGTAATACTGCTGCTAACATTTCTCCTCAGCCCACCAGTACTTTACTCAAGCCCAGCCAGAGCCTACAGCAAGCTCATGCAAGTACCTCATGACTCACTACTGCAGTGATACTAGACCGATAAGAGTAGTGTAGAGCCTTTGTAGTGCTTCTTTGCTTGCTTCATAGGCTCATGTTGTAGAACCTGCCTGCACTATATTTAGAAAATCAGATTTTTAGTGTGTGCAGAAATGTATGCTAGCAATGATCCCCACACGGTGACCAGAAAAAAGCAGTATAAGCTCTGCCTTTGCAGAACAAACAGCCCTCTATTTTCCACTTTACATAATTGTTATGTCATGATGAAATATGTGCAATAGCAACTCAATGTCTGTACTTTAATGTTGTTTGACGTAGAAGGGAGTTAAATGTGCATCTTAACAGAGTGGACAAAGCATGGCCATTGGCTCCAGAAGGGGGGGAAGGGGGACGGGAAAAATCACAGAGTCGCTGCACTTTTTGAAGGCGGCAAACTTAAAGATGTGCGACGATTGAACTGGATCACAAGCCACATTGTCTAAAATGCTATGTGGGAGGGAGCACTTTGTAGATCACCACAGATGACAGTATCCAGCTTTGGAACACAAAATCTGCGTATTTCAGCATTGATCCCAGAGCATTACATTAACATTAACATCATAGCAGACCAGGTTGGGCAACCGCTGCTGGATGAAGGGTACTTTTAGATCACAAGACGTCATTGAATGAGAGCCTCAAAGCGTTCCCTCTGAACACCTACAGCATGGGATGAATTTAGATGCAGTGTCAATAGAATGGAGCTTTCGCCCATGAAGTTTGTGCAACGTGTGTGAATCATTAATGTCTGCCTGAGGCGGCTTTGACACCTGGAGCGCGTAGCTTTCTGTTGGAGTCTCCCTGCACTCGGGGCTAAAGTCGGTCCAACCTGGCATTGAACAAGAGATTCTATTCTTCTGGTCACGGAGACGGTATACATCAGTGTTTCCCAACCTTTCTGCTTGTGACCCTTTACACAACTATCTATTCATTACCACCCGCCACATGTTGCATACTAAATGTTTTGTGTCGTTCCCCTACATGTAGAGTGCTTAAGAAGTACAACTATCCAGTATATCGCAATAAAAAAACAAAGTTTAGAGAAAAGCCACGTAGAGCTGAAATATGTTTGTTTTGTTTTTCTTATTTCCTATTTCTGAAATGTACAGTATCTTGAGATTGAATCCCTCCAGGTAAGTAACCACAGCAGTCATTTTGGATGATGAGTTAATACATTTCATTCATTTTGATGATCGTGAAAAATACTAATACAAACCTAACTCTTGGAGTAAGAAATATTTGATTGGCTCATGTCTACTTCTGACTGTTAGAGAACCTGTTGAACATTATTAATAGGGAACCATGTAGACACTGATTATTTAATTTTTTTGTGGACTACAGGTGACAATAAAGACTTCAAATACAATCCATGACTAGTATTCTCAGCTGACAAACGTAATGATCATTCACACAGTAGATGATGTTTCTCCATTGAAAATAAATGGATTTTCAGTCGCTAGTTGGATGAGAAGTGAGAATGCAAGGCCTGACAAGGTCAACAAGACAAACTTTTATCACGGTTGTCTGTGATTGTGATGCGTGTCGAGATGGATGCCTCGCCTTCTATTGCAAATCAAGTCTACTTACGGGTACAAATAAAAGTAACCTGACAGAGCTCCTCTGATTACATGACGCATCCCGTAGATGCAAATATTGACACAATGGATTAACGTGTCATCGTCTGATGTGTGTTTGACTCCTATCTGTATCCAGGAAAGCTCTGACAACCTCACCTTCATCTACTGGGCGATGTTTGATGGCCACGCCGGCTCTGGGGCGGCTGTAGTGGCTGCCCGCCTTCTACATCACCACATCGCCCTGCACCTTCAGGAGGTGATGGAGATCGTCTGCAATCCGAACCTGACGACCCCCACGTGCCTCGGGGAGGAGCCAATCAATCACCACCTCACCCCGACATCCCAGCGCGCCCTCACCAGGGCCGCGTCCCTCCGCGGCGCCGCAGGAGCTCCCGGCTCACCCAGCACCCCACCCACGCGCTTCTTTACCGAGAAGAAGGTCTCACACGAGAGCCTGGTGGTCGGAGCCATCGAGAATGCTTTCAAAGACATGGTAAGAGGCGTTTGCAATGAAAATACCGTGCACACCATTAAAATTACAGAACACGGAGGAACATTGTTCCCTTAAAGTTCCTTGTGCTACTTCAGTTAGTGATTTCTTTCAATTCCCAGAATAACACTGGACATCCCCCCCCTGTTAAATCGCCCAGAGTTGCCTCCATTCCTGGTTATATGTGTATTTGGAGAAAAAAGGCTAGGCATGCCCTTTTCTCAAAATGAAATTGCTTGGAAGCAACGATATGCTGGAAAAATGAAAGACACAGAAATGTCTGTTAAATGCAAGCCTGCAATCAAAACTGTAAGTGTTAGTCTTAGGTTTTTTTGATACATGCATTTGCCATTTCCTTTACAATGAGGATTCAAGCTCCACCTCACTATTGTTTTTATTGTGGAGTAATCCAGTGATTATTGTCTTGTAATCATTTACCAAACATTGCCCATCACAAGTTCACAGAGGCCATGGTTTACTCTCATGGAAGAATAACCAGAAACTATTCACAATTGAGAAACTGGAAACAGTATTTTTTTCTCATTATGTTTAAAAAAAGTACTTCAAACGCTAAATTGATTATGAAAATAGCTAATTTATATTCTGTCCATTGATTAAATCGACTAATATACACAAATTTACAATACATAATGTATTCATGAATAAAAGTGAAAAAAAATGAAGCAATATGCAGACTTTTGGGTATGGCATTAAAAATAGAATAAAACTATATTAACCAAATAATAAAATCATGAATAACATCTATTAGACGCCTACTTTTGTGTTTGACAACAGATCAAATGTAATCTGTGATGTCCTGCTGCTGTAAACCACAGCCGCCTGGTCTTAGAAACAGGTTACACCAGACACACAGAATTATCTTCCAGTAAGGTCAACACTGCACCAACGCTTTTGAACGTTTGTGTTGTGAGTGAGATCACTGGGGGAGGTTAAATCAGATCTGGCAGCTCAATCAAATTAGAAAATACAATTGCATAGTGTTTCCACCTCTTTACCACTAGATGGTAGTGTGCAATTACCTATTCTTACCAAAGTACATGGCCATAGAAAGGGAAATAAGAGTATTGGGGCAGTTATGGCGTGTGTAGGTGTAAGTAATGGTTGTATGAGGATCAGTTAATTAATTGAGGTCTATTGTGAATTTATGGTTAATGATGATGTGATTTTTGCTTCAGAGTCATGAGGATTGTGTGTTGTGAACTACAGTTGCACACTGTTACGTCACGATGAAATTTGTTAAAATAGCATGGCAGTAATCTGCACAATTCAGTTTTTTTTACATGATTCAGCATAAAGATTCAAATGTTACTGGAATTAGGATCCACTTTTAATAGTAAATAGTAGTTTCTTTGCTGCTTCTGTGTTTTTCTCTCTTTGTTTCCTTGTCAGAAACGTATCTACTCACGGCTCCGAGCTATCAGCAGACTTCTATGCCTCACTCTGCTTCCCGTCTCTTCACTCACGTGCCTCTCTGGCTCTTCGTCCCGCTCTGAATCTGCACTCTGTACCCTCTGTGTCCTCTCTCTGTCTTTAAGGGGAATTGCACTGAAATCCACCATTTCAAACGTTGCAGTCACAATGTACCTCAATCCCTGCAGCTACAAAGCTCTCTAATGGTGGTCTAAAGTTGTTCTTCAGAGAACTATACTTTCCAGTGCATTGCTCAGTGTCTCACTAATTGTAATTGGAGCCCATAGGCGAGATAAAATGCTGTAACCACCTGGAAAAACAGTGTCTACTTTCCTCCACAGCTGTCATTTATTTTTATTTCAGTAATCATTTTTGTGAAAATTGCAAACTGCTCCACATGGTACACATCTCCACTTGGAACCCAACTTCTACTTTTGCTCAGTAACTACCCAAAAGTAGATTTTGGCAGCATTCCCCCCCCCCCCGTCTTATTTTTTTTTAATGAAGCTCATTCTTTAAGAAAATGTCACTAGAATCCTGGGGAGGTTTGGTATCACTCTAAATCGTTGTGTCAGAGGTCACTGAGTCTCTTTATCTTATCAGCAGGATCCGCCTTTAATTTCTCACTGCATTCCTGTGGCAGTGGCCGGTGTGTATGAGGCGGCTACTGAACACTCAGGGGGGGGGGGGGTGTAAACACCAAAAACAACTCGGAAACAAAAGGTGGGCCCGTTTCAGAGAGAGGGGAGATGATTTCACCGGCCTCGTATGATCGTCTTTAGTATAGAACATTTATTTGTAGCCTCTCTAATTGGTATTGTGTATATGCGTGTGTGTGTGTGGGCAGGTTGAGCTCCACTTGTGCAGACTGCCACTTGTTGACATCTCACCATCATGGGAATGTTTGATGCCTCACTTTATGATGTGTGCTATCAGCATTCGTTGAACATTTTGGGAAATTTGCTTATTGGCTTTTATTCAGCGGACAGTTAGCTTAGCTTAGCACAAAGACTGGAAACTGGGAAACAGCTAGCCTGATCAGCCTATAAAGCTCAGTATGTCATGCCATATCTTATTTCAATAATCTGTACACAAACTCAAGTGTGAAATCATAGCGGTGACTGCCGACTATGCACATAGCCACTATACTGTATATGACAATAACAAAGTAAAAGGATAGATGACATTTTTTGGTCTGACTGTACAAATGTCTGTTGATTTTACTCATTTGTTAATTTTTGACAAGTAAATCTGGCCATTGGGCGAGTAAAACAAGGGCTTAATGTGAGGCCCTGTCCTACTAAACATAGAAACGTCAAACCTGTCAGTAGATCTATACAAGTTGGCTGTGCTCTTTTTCAATACTTCAATACTTGATCAGCGTCAGTCCTGGAGGAACAGGACGTACGTAGTCCGACAGATTAAACCAGACGCGCCATAAAACACACAAATCTCAGTTTTTTATTTGTCCCGCCCTCTTCCTGACCTTCGACCAATTACCACAGTTGACACTGACTGATACTTGCAGATAAATATCTCAAAACTAAAGGCACAATCTGTGTTTTTTTTTGTTACCACATTGTTTAGAACTGTTTCCTCAACTATTTACATCCTCCCTTGTTTTTATGCTCTATGTTAAAGTGGCTTTATTCCACATTCAGAGCATCATTATAGCAGCAAACAACTTGCTTTGTAAAGATATAGAGTGCTGCAGCGATGATGTATTTTTTTAGGCCAACCCGGAAGTTGGCATCGCCCTTAATTGCCCTTGATGAAAAGTGAAAGAGATTTTTCCATTGGATTTTGAATTATTCCTAACAATGTGTGTTATTGTGCTCTATATTAAAGGAGCATTAGCCGGAGAATTTGCCCAAAGGTGCTTCTGGCCCCTTCAAAAACAGCTGATGTGCCGCCGATTTATCAGTTGGAATGATTGATTCAGTTAATTACCGTCAGCAGAGCTTTCCATCTTTTCTGACGTTCGACCGGTTTTTCTGCCGTTGCTCTGTTTTCTTTCTCTGTTTTTAGAACTAATAGCTTTAGGTTTTTATACTGCAAACTCACTAATGGATAACGCAGCAAACAGCATGGAGACGGGTGTTTGGCCTGACCTGTGGCTCATAGGTAGTACGGTGACTCAACATCAGCTTTTGCCAAAGCAGTCGAACCTTCTCTTCTTCTTTGTTGCTGGTAAGCAGAACAGCTTCTACGAAGATGGTGGCCTTCAAGACAATATGTTGAATAAAATAGTTTATAAAAGCTATTAAACATTCACTCACATCTTCTATGAGCCATTGGACATAATGAGGGGTGTTCTTTGGTGTGTCCCTGACGTAGATTTCAGTTTACAGTTTACTACAGACTAGTTATTTTTGTTGTAATGGATGATGTGGTCATATGATGTCATGTGGGACTCTTGTGGAATTTGGTCATTCCTGATTCGTCAGTCCTTAGTCGTTGGTGTTTGTTTTTCTTCTTTCAAGGACACAATAAAGAGTTTAATTTGAAGAAGTGCAGACACCGTTTCGTCTCCACCTTTGGGTTGTTTAGCTCGTTGGATTCCTCTTGGCGGAAGTGGGGAGGAGAAAGGTGTAGATGTTTATGCAGACATTTTCATTATTGAAGACTTTGCCTGCAGCAAGAGGTATTGCAGGATAAATATGTATGGCTCGCTACAGATTCATAATTCAATTAGGGTGAAGGACACATTTGTTCACCCTCTCCAACACACACACACACACCGTCCTCCATACTCCTTCATGCCCCCTCCCTCTTTGAAAAATGTGCACAGCAGCAACAGTGGTATGTGCGTGTGTGTGTTTGTTCTGTAACTGGACAGGAAGATGGAGTGCAGGCCTTCAAAAACACACATATGCACCCAAACACACGCCAATTCTGTCTCGTATAAAACAGTCAGCACAAAAATGCACACAAACGTCTGAAGTCGCACGCACACACACATCCGGTCCCGCAAATGATTGCTTTCTATGCACACACATGCAGAACTGTCTACACGCACTTGGACTCTCACACATCCGTCTTTTCTGCCAGACACAAACACACGTACATTTATGCCCACGATCCACCGCTGTCTCCTGACTCTGCGCACACATTCACACGGTTGTAATCTGATACAGGTCGTCCGCAGCGGGAGCAGAAGGCGACGTGCTTTAGTTGGGGGTGACATCCCTCTTGGGAAAACTGGCTAGGGATGGCCCTTGCTGCAAATGTGTTCGCCAGCATTTTACATCCTAACTCAATCTGTTGATGGTTGTTCGTGACGGAGGGATGCGAAGGAGGAGGCGCCAGAGGGGGTCATGCATTTTTCCGGGATTACTTCCTGCGTCTGTTTTGCCATTAAAGGCCCGTTAGCATCAACGGTATCCACAGAGAGCATAAAGAGGGTTAAACCACGTGTAAAAGCAGCTTGGTTCAAATGTATGTTTGCATTTTGATTAATTTTCTGACAGGTTAATTATTCATCTAATTAATGAATTGATACAGTAGCATGGGTTTTTTTTTTTTCTAATCATTTTTTTTTTTTGGTTTAATTAGCAACAAATGAATCTGGGCTAATTAACCGGTGTAATGACCAACGGCTGTTCCAAACTTTCCCTCCTATCCCTTTGGTTTCCATTCTGCTTTATTGCTCCTTGACTTATGACGCTATTGATGAATGAATTCATTATGGTGCTATAATTAATAATAGCATCATGGTGGGTTTTAAGTACCAGCGTAATATTTGACTCGGTATCAGGTTCTTGCTGAAATGCTTTGTGGCGCTGCGTGATAGGAAAAAAGTTTTTGAAGGCTGTGATGATTAGAAACATGATGATGTGCAGAGTGTGGGTTTGGATTATGTGCTCTTGGTATTAATATGTGTGTGTGTGTGTGTGTGTGTGTGTATTTAGGATGTGCAGATCGAGAAGGAGAAGGCGGTCTACAACGTCTCAGGTGGCTGCACTGCTCTGGCGGTGGTGTATTTGCTGGGGAAGCTCTACGTCGGGAACGCTGGAGACAGCAGGTGAGACACTCGCGTGGACATAATGAGTGCACTTTCGCACATGCACAAGCGTCTTTTCTCTGTCGCTCACCTCGTCGTGCCCTGCAGCAGTCAGTGTCCCAGTTTGAATAAACAGAGATTTGTTGCGTCTGGTCCTCTCCCTCAGAGCTATCATTATCCGGGCCGGGGAAGTCATCCCCATGTCAGCAGAGTTCACGCCGGAGTCAGAGAGACAGCGACTGCAGTTCCTGGTAAGAAAGAACCTTTCTCAGCTGTCGGATATTAGCAGAGCTGACCTCCCCTCCCGTTGAGATATACCAGCTATGCTTTGCTCTGTCTCTCTTACACTGCCTGCTCTCTTTGCCAGCTTAATAGACTGGAATTGTTTTTCCTATCCCCAGGGTATGTCAATCTTATTCTTTTTCTGTTTTTTTTTTTTTTTTCTCCGTTCTTTCCGTATCTCAGGCCTACATGCAGCCCCACTTATTAGGGAACGAGTTTACACATCTGGAATTCCCGAGGAGAGTTCAGAGAAAGGAGGTCGGGAAGAGGATGCTGTACCGTGACTTCACCATGTCAGGATGGTGCGTGACTGATTTGTTGATTTTTGACTGATTTACAGATTGAATTCTTCCCTTAACGTCAAATGCAAAGCACAAGTGACTGTTAGGAAACTACACTAAAACATAGTTGTTAAAAATATGGTTACGTTTTTTACATCCTTACACTTCAAAGTAATTTCTGCTTGCCAACCTCATATAATTATGCCTTGCCAAAACATAACTTTGTGATATTATCTGCATTTGACGGATTTCCTATAATGTACCCTTTATGGCCAATCTCCATCCTATTGAGTGTGCAGCAGTGTATAAAAGCCATTCAAAGCTTCACTGTCAGAAGGAGCTCCATGCAGTCGCCTTGACATTTCTGCTTCTGTGTGTGAGAGGAAGGTAAGAAGGAATGTGTGGGCACATGAAGGACAGCTCTTTATCTTAGAGTGGAGAGAGGGGTGAGAAAGGAAGAAAACAGCGAGGACACAAGGACTGAGGTACAAATGGAAATGTGGAGAGGAGATAAAAGGAAAGGAAGAGACAACAAACTGAGGGAGGGAACGAGTGCAGGTGCAGCTTGAAGTGTAAAGTGGATTTTTTTCTCTTCAAAGTGGAAAGTTAACCTCCGTTACACACGCTGCTACTGAGGTCACTGTAGCTTAAATGATTATCGGCTGCATTCTCAGCAAACAAAGATGTTTAGCATTCAGCTCTATGATCTATGTCTGTGCCTGAATTGTACTTGGCGCTTTACCACAATAAGAAATACTCCATAACAAGTAAGTCCTGCATTCAACTATTTTCTCCCAGTAATAAGAGATGGTTGTAAAAAGTAAGTGTATTTACTCAAGTAATATATTTGCAGATGGATCTGAGATACTCTATGTAGATTCATGCTACTTCTACTCCACTCCACTACATTTATGACAGCCCGACCCTTGAGGCCTCCTTCTAAAGCCACTTTCCCAGAATTATCGTTATGCAAGTAAACATATAATAATGAATTTAATCACAAACATGGCTATTTAACGGGATCTCAGAGAAATATGTGAAACGACCACAACCTCATAACAGCACATTACGTGATGGTGACACGGAATGTGTAAAATTATGAGCCACCACCACAAAAACAATTTAACTTTAGCTTTAAGCAACAAAACCACTTAGTTAGGTTTAGGAAAAACATCATGGTTAAGCTTAAAAAAAGGTCTGTCAAATATCTTAACATGTCACGAATGTAACATCGCAGTAACTCAACATGGGACACGAACACTCGTCTTGAACAAGATCTCCTGGTTGAAAGTCCTGTGTTTATTTTTTCTTTTCTTTTTCTTGTCGGAGCATTTCATTCATTGATTGCTGTCGGTTTGTAAAGAGAATTTCAACAAATATAACTAGACGGGGTTTCTGTAATACATTGCCTACCGTAGCTTTAAGCACAGGACTTGGGTACCTGCACTTAAGTACCCATGTAGAACATGTGTTATACACGTACTGTATGTGTATGAGTGGGAGGTGCAGGCGACTGAGGAGAGATGAACAGAATGTGTGTTTGCTCGGTTCAGCAGATGTAGGTCAGTCAGTGGCTGTGTTCCTTTTCGGGCCCAGGACTCTCAGCCTGCCGCCTGCTTACTGTCTCCGCAGCGCAGACGGCCTGTGATGTATTTTTAATCAGGTTAAACCCATAACCCAGCTCTGCTCGTACCACCCGGACTAAGTCTGGGTCTTAAATTAGTACCCTGTCAGCCGGAGGGGCGGATTGCTCTGATGTGCGTGGGTGTGACATAATTGTGTCATCTTGTATAGGTGCAGTTCAGACGCTCTATAGGTACAAAGGATCTTCTTCTTCTTTTTTGTTTTTGTTTTTTTTTCATGCCTCTGCAGCTTTCTGCAGTACACTCTCCCGTCAGTGTGTGCAGCCGATGTGCCCACTTGCTGCGTGTGTGTGTGGGTGTACGCAGGCATCCAATTCCCTCAAAGGCATCGATGATCAAGGCCACGCTCTAATGAAGGCATACAGGCCACGCAGCCCACCTCTCTCTGTCTTCCACCCTCGCTTTCTTTGCCTCACCCTCCCTCGGCCAGTTGGACGCTTCCGCGTTGCGAGCTGTAATGGCGGTCGCTGTCCAGGATGGAGGGCGGCGTTGTATGTACGGAGTGATGGATGTTGAGCGGTCGGCCGCGGCCGACGAGATCCAAGCTCCACGGCAACGAGGAAAGGTGGGGAAGAGGGTGAGCTAGAGAGACAGAGAGAAATGTAAGCTGCAAAGATAGAGGAGAGGGTTGGGGATGGTGTTATAGGAGGGCAGTTATAAATGACAATGCACGGTGCTCAAGCTGTCTCTCTTTGGTGCACACGCCCAACTCCTGTAGACAATGAATGTCTCCTGCTCCTCCCTCTCTTCTTCCCTTCTTCTCCCATTATGCTTTCGTACCGATATGACTGATGCTATTTGGAGAGTCGTTGGATCACTGTCATTAACTCTGGCCTCGCTGTGCTCCGGAAAGCACCACTCAATCTTACACAAAAAAAAGCCCATCAAGGTTGGCCAGAATGTTTATCTGAACCCAGCTGTCAATTTGTCCGATCCATCCGGCACTGACACAGGCCCTCCGCAATGTCACCTCAAAGTCTGTCGACGCCTGTGTGTGTGTTTGTGTGTGTGTCTCTGCTTGTGTGCGTTTCTGAGATGTACAGCACACGTGCAGATCGGGACGCTGAGCACACGCTGCTAATGTTTCTCTGGCCCCCCTCCTTTGCGCCGAGCGGAGGTGACATCACTCCGCTCCTGCCTGTCTCTCGTCACCTGCAGAGAGAATGATACAACCCCCGTCCCCGTCCCTGCATCCCTCTCTTCCTCTCCCATCCCCCACACTCTCTCTCTCTCTGTCTCTTTCGGTCACACTCTGCAACGTATCAGGCGACCAAACAGCCCTCGGATGTGAAAGCGCTCAGTGTTGTGGTCAAACAGTGCGGTCCCTTGAGCAACTCTCCTTGCTGTTTTTTGGACTCCGTGCCCCAGAGCGGGAAGCAGGTATCATAACAGGATTAATGTGTATCCCTCTCTTTCTGTCACACACTCGTTATCTCAGGTCTGACAGGATGGATTGGCTGTAAACACAAGTCTCCAGAGGGAGACTGTCCCCGCCAGCAGGCTCTGGGGATTTCAACCAAGACCTCTTTGAAATAAGGACATAAAGAGTGTGTCTGGTTGTATTTTTTTTTTTAGGAGACTTCACTTCTTGAAGGTGAAATACTCCAATGAAAGAAGTTTTGAAGTGATATGGCAGGAGAAAAGGTGTTTACCTTCCTTTTATTTAAATACAGGGCGAGACCTGCACCAGCTTAATTAGAGCCTCTTTCAATGCTCAGTTCAAGTTTTGCATCATCAAACTGCTGTTTTTAGAGGTTTTTCCACACCATGAATATTGCAAACGTTAGTGAGGAAACTCTTCTACGACTCACCGCTCTGAAGAGTCTCAGGCCTGCAAACTGTATTTCTGTGTTTGCGGGCTGCGTTCGCCGCGATAGTCCTCGCTCTGCACACTGTTAAAAAAAAAAAGTGCTGAGTGCAGCAGTACAGCGCTCCCCTAAGGTGGAAACATATGGTGTCTCTGAGTGGAACTAGCAGTAATGTAAAAAGCATCCAGGTCCCTGCTAATCTGCTTCACAGCAGCTAAAATACATTGGATAAGGTGTGTGGGGCTGGCCTGGGTCACATGATATTTGCAAATGAGACTTTAGGTTTATTTGAATCAGCTTCTCAGACTACATTTGTAATGCTGTTGTTTCTTTATTTATCTAACATCAAAAGCATTACAAATGTACTGTAAATATTTGTGTGACATCTCTTCTTACGTTTCCTCCAGTATATAATAAAGAATAACTTCTGTTTCTAAATGTTATTCGATCCAGGTGAGGAGGCCAGATTTTTCTTGTGGGAGTTGTGAATGGAAAACTTTGTGCTGGCAGCTCTTCTGGAAATTGGCTCAAAATTTGCAATGTTTCTGGTACTTTATAGTAACACAGCTGCTCCTCTGAAGTAAAACTACACTCGCTATGAGCAAGACTGCTGGGTTTCTACTGAGCTCCAGTAATAGAGGGGGAAGTGTATCTTAATTAAGACCTGGCATGAATACATACAGTATTATACAGTCTTTTTCCTTGTACTGCAGCTCTGTCTGGTCCCAATCTGAAGACGGTATATTATTCATCAGATGGGGAAGTTTAAACACTGCTGAGAGCAGGGGAATGTAAACGTGGATACTCTTGCATCATTTAGCTGCTTTACATCCAGACCTTCAGACACCCACACACACATGCAGTCTTAGAAATTCCAATATTAAACCAAGAGTGTCTCATACATGCATAGACGTCTCTGTATTTGTCGCTAGGGAGACTTTTACAAGATCGGTTTGAAAGGAAAAAAACTATGCTAAAATATGCTAAGGCTCTGTGATGTCTGGGTGGATTTTTTTTTTCCCCCCTCGCCGTCTCTCTTTTCCCTCCTAGCATACTCTTTCTCTCTGTGCCAGTCGGCTCGGCAGCAGGGCCTACGGGGGGGCGATGTATCTCCAGGGCACGTGTGCGCTGCCTGTCGTAAACCAAAACCCCATTAAAGTGTCCTCTCTCTCTCCTCTGTGCAGGGCGTATAAAACCATCGAGGACGATGACCTAAAGTTTCCCCTGATCTACGGCGAAGGGAAGAAGGTAAGAAGTGCTCGGCGGCCGCTTGAGTTATTCCCTCAGACTTGTGCGCCTCGCCTGTAATCAAAGCTCACCAGGGCACCATTAGTCAGCCCCCCCCTCTCTCTCTGTGAGGAGGAGCCAGCCAGTGGAAGACCTTCCCGGCCTCTTTCCACAACGATTCCCATCCTGCACCAATATGGCACAGAGAATACCTCCGCTCTAATGGACTTTGTGCTTTTATGTCCCTCAGCAGGTAAAAACAAAGCACTAACACAGCTGAGAGTCAAAAGGTGGGACTCTCGCTGGAGCCACCCGTTAGATGTGATGAAAGGAATAAAGTGACATATGTTAATTGGAATATAACGTCGCTAAAGCACTGACTTGCAGGAGAATCTCTTTAGTGTAATGACACGTAGCACAAAAGAAAAGGTCAAGCTCGGCACAATGACATTTCCCCTCTGTGATGCTGCACATGAGGTGGCGTGCAGCATCTTGTCCTTGTTGCATTGTAAAGGTCAGAGGGGAAACATGATGGATCTGAATATGTTCTCACGGTGGCCTTCCCTAGTTTTCTATTTAACACAGACAGACGGTAGATTTATGGTTGAATGATGACAGGGGCAGATGTCGCACCACAGTGCTCTCCGCCTGCAACCACATTCGGGTTTACCCCTGCACAGTTGGCCGTGCCCACGTCGCGTCCCTCTCCCTTTGAAGTGAGACACGGAGATGGATGGCTAGATAGAGCGAGGGGGGCTTTGTGCGAGGCTGAGGAACGCCAGAGCACTTCAAAGCCCGGCGCGCAGCCTGCTGGGCCCCAATGCTCAACAATTAATCCCAGGATGTTTCCCCTTCTTCGCCGGAGGAGCTTTGCCGCCACTTTGAAACGCTCTCCCTTTCACCGTGTCTCCTTCTCTCTGCCTCCACTGATCCAGGTCCTACCAGGCCCGACTCGCCCTCATACTCCTATCCCCGGCCTTATGTGCTGCCCTTTCTCATGAGCTGTACAGTAGATTCAATTAGCCCAGTTCCCTCAGCCCTTCGCCAGCATCCGTTTTTAGAGGCGTCGGTGGCGACCTGTGCCGACAGTAGGAATCAAAAAGGAGTTTCGCACAGCTTACAAAGGAGTCTGATGGCGTCTGGGGCTCGGGGAACGAAACTTGAAGATGCCGACGACGAGCTTGTGTTTATCTGCCTGAAATGCTGCTCATCCATCCAGATAAAGATTCCCACTGAAAGCCGCCTGTATCTGTATGTATGTGTGTATATATATGTGTATATGTATATATGTATATATGTATATGTATATGTACACATACATACATATACATACATATATACATAAATATGTATGTATGTATGTGTATATATGTATGTATATGTGTATATGTGTATATGTATATGTGTATATATATATATATATATGTATATGTGTAGATATAGATAGATAGATAGATAGATAGATAGATAGATAGATCTATCTATATATCTCCAAATAAAATGGTTTGATTGTAATTTGGCTCAAACTGTTGGCTTGTCTGGTCGTCTGACTGCTTGTGTTTGAGTTCATTATAGCGATGAGAACATGTCCCCACATCTCAGAAATCACTCAAAGTACGATGTTATCATAACCGACAGATATGACGGCCATCAAAATATCAAGCATCATCAAAGACAAAATCATAGTTCTAATAAACTCTTCAATATCCGTTAAGCTTTACATGCCTCTGATGTTTTGCAGGCTCGTGTGTTGGCGACCATCGGGGTCACCAGAGGTCTGGGGGACCACAATCTCAAAGTGCACGACTCCAACATCTACATTAAGCCCTTCCTGTCCTGCTGCCCAGAGGTAGGAGTGAATTCTGTGCTTCATTATGTCTCGTTCACATTATCCTTTCTACATAACATAACATAAAGAGTGCGACTACTAATTTGAGAGATTGTGCCAGACAAGAGTTGCCACAGTAACATATCTCTTTGGATATCTTTGAAAGATTGAGGGGGAAATAATCACAGCGTAATCTGAACATTCAACGTAGAATTTATGCCGCATTTACGTCATGTTGTTGCAACCGTAATAGGCCCCTTTTTCACAGCAGCCACTTTGCCATTAATGCAGGGTAAACAGGTGTAATTAATAGAACTGATCATGGTCCTGGACGATTTATTTAATGTGTCACAGTCATTCCACTGAGCCAGCATGCACAACACCAGAGCCATGGCCCATCTCAATGGAACAGGGAATGTAGAAAAGAAGGTGAAAAGATCCACAGACATGCAAACAAACTGGTGACAGACTGGCTGCAAATGCACCACTGCTGGCAGCTACATCACAATTAAATCCAATATTAAAACTAATACAATAGATTCAGATATTCTATTCTATAATATTATTTCCTCTTGTATAATGCGTGAACACTTCCCATCCTGCCAACTTTGCGTGAATACAGCAATAGTGTCTTGTGTCACAACTTCATAGAAAATTCATAAAACAGGTCCAAATGATTCCTAGAAACCAAGCATCTTTCATCCCTTGCCCCCCCCCTCTTCACCTCCAGGTTAAAGTCTACCCTTTGGCGCAGTGCGAGCATGGAGCTGATGACGTTCTGGTGCTGGGAACCGACGGTCTGTGGGACGTGCTCTCTAACCAGGAAGTGGCTGAAGCGGTCACTTGTTTCCTGGCAAACTGCGACCCCGACGACCAGCACAGGCACGTTCGCTCATCACACAGCCGCCAGCCGGGGCTGAACTTCCTCTCACCTAGGGTCTTATTTGGAGAGGATGAACACTGTTATCTTGTTGTAATTATGCAAATTTTCAAACATTTAGATAAGCAATTTCTCTAATGTTAAGGAAAAGCTTATAAGACTGTTAAGGAGGTGCTCTGACTCTTCTTCTCCTGTGAGCTTAGTTTTTCAAAGTTCAAAGTCCCCCCCCCCCCCCCACATCTGTCTGCTCTCAGATGTACTTAGTTAAATACTGTGCTTAATTATAATCAGATTAGACCATTTATCTTATTGTTTATCACCATGCTATGACTGTGCCTTAATCATTTATCACTTTTGTTCTGGCAGGTACACAATGGCAGCCCAGGACCTCGTAATGAGAGCACGGGGGGTTCTGAAGGATCGGGGCTGGAGGATATCCAACGACAGATTGGGCTCTGGAGACGACATCTCCGTCTACATCATTCCCCTCATGTACGGCAACAAGCAGAACTAGCAGAGCTACGAAAATACAACCACCACCGAAACGTAACCCCTCCTTGACCCCCGCAGTTCCCCTCACCCCTTGGTCTCTTTATAAAGTGCTCTAGTGTGGACTTCCTCCTCTGCTGAGGGATCCAAATGTCTCTGGTCAGAAATGGGATTTTTCTTCTTTTTTTTGTCCAGGCTGTTTTCAGATCATCCTCAATTAGGGTGACCTCTTTGTCTGGTCCTTTTTTTTTTATAGTAAAGAAATGTAAAAAGAGCTTGAGTTGAAGGTACTAATCCCCCCCCCCCCCCCAATCCAGAGGAAGCCATCATGAACCTTGTTGCGGGGCGATGCCTTTAAGGCTGAGAGCATATAGACTCATGGAGGAGATGGTGATGTGCATCTCAGGATTGCAGTTACTAACTAATGCACAATTATTTATAAATGTGAAGATGTAAATACTCCAAGGTAAGACATTTGATAAGTGTGTTTACCTGTACAGTGTAACCCCCCCCCCCCCCCAAAAAAAAACACTAACCTGAAGACTGATGTCCTGCATATATAAATCACACCTCCTCTGTTCCGTGTAGAGCTGTTAAATTAGCCGCGTTCAGTCATCTGCAGTCGTGAGTCTGTTGTCCAAAAGAAAAAACGTGAAATCCTTCCATAGATAGTACGTCAGCTGTTTTTCCTGATACTGCATATTTGTATTCATTTGCACGCCTCGTAATTTGCAATTCAGTGCTCGCTAACTTAAGAAAATTCCTTTGAAAATGAAGAAACACATTCATGAAGAAAAACTGTAACGGAAGGAGCTACGAGACCCTGCTCTCATCATAGCATTACATGTAGCCTTTAGCTTTTACATTAATTCAGTTTTAAGGTGGAAACACAAAGAAGTCTTTCTGTTGCACTCATTCTCCGTCTGCCATCTACCTCATTATTTACTTCCTTTTATTGTATTACCCATTGTCCTCTTTGAGTGGCTGTTTGAATGCTACGTCAGGTGCATCAGCGGCTGCTTCCTGTGCCATTATTCAGCCATGATTTGCTCCCGTACCGGCACCATTTGTGAACTTGTTTTGCAAAAAAGCACTGAAGGAAAAACGTCCTCACAGGGAACTGTGGGGGTGTAGTGTACGAAATATATATTTGTATACATATTATGCTCAAAAGCCCCTTTGTCATGCACTCATGTTTACCTTTCCTCAGTAACAGTTGGATATATTGTCCCTATAAAGATAAAGATAAACCCATTCTTATGAATATAAGGGGCCTCTGAAGAGAATTGCTTTGATTTTGAATGTGTCATTTTACAGCAGGTATGAATAACACTATCAGTGCAGACAAATGTACAACACGTGTGTGTCTACAATCAATATTGTTGCTTGATTCATTGGTTTTCCACATTTCCGTTTGTTTAGTTGTAGTTTTCAGCTTCTACTAATTGTGGCACAAAAGTCTTAATGCTGTGCGAGTGGCTGAAGCTGGTGAAACATGGAACAGAGTGACTTAATTTAAATGTAAAAATGTAAATAATGTTTTCAGTGGAAACTTCTCTTTCTTTTGCTGTAAGCGATGTACATCTTACTGAAACAAAAGACGTCATTTGCACTGTTTTGGAAACCAAGGAACAGTGTAAATAATGGTTTAAATGCTCACTTTTCTGCTCTATTAAAAAAACGTTACCTTTTTTTCCACATTACTCTGCTGTGTTATTGAGACAAAGTTAGTGGACTCACTGTATAGTAGACAGAAAAAAAAACAGATACAAGATTGATCCTGGCCCAACAACAGCAATTGGACTTAATAATATTTTTCTAAATTCCTAAAACCAAAGTCATGGCCTGCCTGCACTGTGTTAAACTACTACTTAGATTTATTTAAATCCTGTATAATCAGATTTGACGGTCAATTCCAAAAGGGAATACACGTGTTAAAGGGAATTCTGTAGGAATTGTGAGTGCCAGACTTAAATGCTGGCAAACTCCCTTAGACTTAAGCAACTGTATAGAATAAGACCATCACCACTGACGAACTGTGTCAAGTGAGCCCCACCACTACATGATGAAGGGTATCGGTTCGCAGAACAGCATGACAGAGGATTTCATGGTGGAGGCTGCAGTCGGTGGGTGGGTGGGTAATCGGACACTGAAGCGCACACATAGTGATGAAAGACGACTTGAAAAGTGCACAAGATGTGCGTCCCTATTTCAACTGGTCTTTCCCTTCAACGTCTCCCTTAAAGGTTCCGTACACGATAGCATATCAGAGCATATCTAATGCCAGGGCTCTCAACATGGAGACGGCTGAGACAGCGGCTAATGGTGCAAACAGTGCAAACAACGGCAACAGAGCTAACAGTGTGATTTTTTTTTTTTTTTTTTTTTTTAGTGAAACTTTAAGTGCAATACCTTCGAGATCAAAGATGTAAATGAAGTCACAGGATAAAGCTTTCAGAGTTCATGACACAACGGAGGTATGAAAAACTATGTCTGTTTTTTTAGCACCAGACAACTTACATGATATACCGAACATAAAGGTGTTCGTGTGAAACAGCAAGATTCTTGTTTTGTTATGACATTTTTGACATGTCACAGTTGCACATTAATGATGGCTCTGTTATATTCAGGAGTCCCAGAAAGCTGTGGCAGTGACTCAGCGTGCTGATAATGAAGCAGCTATATGGAGTTCAGCCGGCATACATGTACATATTCACTCCTGTGCTTCGATAGGTCAACATGTCTGACCTAGTGGAAGATACTTTTGTTTCTTTTGCTCCTTGCAAAGCATTTTGTAACTCATCGCAAACCAGACATCAAGGCACATACAACTGGCATCATGGCAGCTGCAGCACAGATAAAAATGTTTTTATGCTGAGGAAATTGGGGAGATTAACTTTCAAGTAGTCCACACACATCTGAGTCATATCAGTGAGCTTAATCAGTGAGACTGTTTACACCTGAGACCAATTAAGAGGCACGGCTGCACAATACAACATATGTGCAGGTATGACTGAATTTTAGGATAATAAACACGATTCTGTGGCTTTTCCCAGTCATATTACCAGATGATTTGTTGTATTTTCACCCCTTTAGTTTATCAATTCTCTTTTTTATCTTCTATTTACTTCCGTTATTAATATTTTGCCTTTTTCTTGAAATTAGACACAGAGTTAATGCTCTGAGGGATAACAGAGCAGAGAGCCAGGAAAGGTTTATGGACCACCCATGTCTATGACAATCGTAAACAATCACTTTTATAACTGGCTTGATCTCCTATTCGGGAAGAGTATGATTATATCACACAAACATACATTTATGGATGCATTTACATCCTAAAGACGGTCATAAAGTGCTGTCGTGGGAGTCTCACACTGCTGGGTTCCTCTGCAGGAGCTGAAGGGGCCATCTGGTCCTCACAGGCCAGCGCTGCATCCTCCTCCAGTCCGGCCATCTCTGATCAGGCACCCCACTCCTACTCTCCACACGTGTACGTGTGTGGTCCAGATTGCATGACGGCAATGATGACACAGTCATTCCTGTGGGCGGCTGTTTTTTCCAAGGTTACAGCACTCCTCCTCCTCCCCCCCCCCCCCCCCCCCCCGTGGATGGATCTGAGGTGCTGAGTGGGCTTGCAGCGAGATACTCATCTCTTGTGCTGGAAAGGTGAGGTGCTGCTGTAGGCCACAGCCTTCGAGCCTCCTTTCATTGAAAATATACTATTCTTTATATTGATTTCAGCTTTTTCATCAAGGATTTTTCTCTCAATATTAATTTTTTTATTGGTCTAACTGTTCAGAACTTAAAGATATTCAATTTAATGTGTAGTAAAAAGAAAATCTTCACATTTGAGATGCTGGAACCATCAAATGTTTGGTATTTTTGCTTAAAAAAAATGAAATAAATCAAATTAAAAAATGTTAATTTAAAATGTTCTCCGAGCCCAAGATGACGACTCCACATGGCGAACATTTGGAGGTTACAGAAATGTAATATTTTGCTGCTTTTTTAAAATCTTATATTATAATTACTTTATTACTATTACTATTCAATTTAATTTAGGATGTTGAAATAAGACATTTTCACTGTTTTCTTGTGTTTTATAGATCAAGCTATTGATCAATTATTGGAGAAAATCATTTCCAGATTACTTGATAATTTAAATAGTTGTTAGTTGAAGCCCTATTCAAAATCCTATATAAACAAAAGGGAACCAGCAAACTCATTTGAGAGGCAGAAACAAGCAAATATTTTGTATCACATGACTATTACTGCGAAATTGTTGGCAAATTATTTTCTGACGTTCAACTCATCATTTAATCAACTAAATATGTTTGAGGAACTAATTCCACTCCAGCATGTTGGATTACAGAGGCAGCGTGTGAGGAGGTATTAGAGGCTCGACTGGACGAGGGTGCGGCCGCTTCAGCGGTGCAGCTGTGATAACCATCTGAGCGGGCATTTTTCCACAGGGTGCTCGAATTAACCGCTTTAGGGCTTCGGCTGCCTGAAGTATGATTTATCTGCGGCCCGGCTCAAATGAGAGCTCTGACGCAAGATGGATGAGGACGAGGGCTGCCTCTGAGCTGCTCACTGGCCCCGCAGACCGGCTCTCTTTACAGACGGGATATGACATATGATGTTTTGGAGGCTGGATTACATGCATGTCTTAAACGAGACAGACTCTTATTTGAATACATGTGATGCAGACCTGTCGGTCAGCTACTCAACAGGGTTGACTATAACTACAAGTCTAATGTGTGTGTGTGTGTTTAGGTAGTGTGCTGCTTCTGCGAAAGACAAGCACTGCTTTCCAACCTGCGTGTGGAGTAGAATTTATTGTTTGATATCAGCACAGATGCTGGTGGGCAGAGGTGTGGCCCGAGATGCATAACTCATGCCTAACACACTATCAAGTGTGAACTCATAAATAATGCATCGGGTGTCTTCTGTGGAGGTCAAACGCAGGATTCAATCTTCAGTCAGTCAGTCATTGAGTGAGCAGCGAGCTCTCCTCTGGGCTGTGGGGGTCTGACTCTGAAGTCAAGACTGCAGCCCCCCCGAACGGTTTCATCAACCAGGGCTGCCTGGCTCCTGCAGCCACTCAAAGCTCATTACTCATTCCGGTCTCCACCCCCACCCAACCATCGCGAGACCCCTGGCTGCCCATACTGTGTGATACAGAGCAACCAGATGCTGTTGGGCCGCAGAGGGGAGGATTTCAAAAGGTTAACCCTCAACGCACGACCCACATCGGCGCTGCAATCGTAGACCTCTGCGAGGAGGCTGCTGCTGCTAAAACCCCTGTGGGGGGTGAGGTCATGCGGTGCGCCTGTCTGCGCACACCACAGAGTTCAAATACACACACCATCCAGATTTAGCATAATAATCAGATTATTACTAGAGCAGTGCCTACAGCCCTGCACAGATTTATGGCTGAGCTCTGCCCTGCATCGATGAGGCGTTCAGGTGCAGAGGGGGGGGGGGGGGGGCAGCACGCGCTATCTGCTCCAGTGTCTGGTGGTATGCAGCATTATCAACAAAGGACGTCGGGGGGAAGAGAGCCACGAAGCCAGCTTGTGTGCATCAGAGCATTTGTATTGTGGGATACCTCTGTGGGCAGCGGGAGCCACGTCACAGCGACAGTTCCGTTGACCTACATGCTTTCTACACAGCCCACTCCGCCCGAGGTGGTGGAAATGCAAATCCATACAAGATGTCGACTTCCTCGTGCATTCAAAAAAAAAATTAAAATGTGCCTACAGATTACATAAACCTGCATGTCGGATATCCTGCTAATACATGCAAGCTCTCTGCTCCATCCTGCACACACAAAAAAGAAGGCATAATGGTACCAATTCAAATCAAACGCATGTCATGAGTCAAATATCACACCGTACAATAAAAACTGCATACAACAAGTGATTTTGTTTTCCTCCTCCTCAATGATTCTCTATTTTATTGGACGAAACACACGATACAGATCTCAAAAATTCAACAATGCAAGCACGAGCTATTTCCCGTTTAAAAGCAGTACATTACAGCGTTTAAATAGAACACGGGGGCGAGCTGCAACAGCAGCGGCGTGCATTACCTGTTCAGACCGTAAAACAGCGTTGGGAGCAGGGCTTTTTGTTTCTTCTCCTTCCTCGGCTGAAGTGGAGGAACCAGCACTAGCAAGGCAGTAGCTTGCGCAGTCATCTCCATAGCGGGCAGTGTCACAACCCAACCAACAGCACAAACTACTACCTCAGCCAGTGCGTGGTCAAACATGTCAAACGATAAAAAAAAAAAAAAAAAGAAAATGTACATATATATGTCGTAAAGTTGAAGAAATGCACCGTCTCGACTACACAGCACCATTCCTACAGAGCCGGTCCGTCCTCGTCCGCGCCGCTCCTCGCTCTGTGCAGAAGTAAGAGGGGAAACCCCGCCCAAGCAGACCTGCTCCCTCCGCTCTCTCCCTCCTCCTGCTCCTCCTCCTCCTCCTTCCTCTTCAAACCACAAAACGGCCCGTTCCCCTCGCATGACCCACTGGATGATGTGAGACTTGGTGCTCGGGGAGAGCCAGGGGACATTTGAGAGCGAGCCGAAGCAGTTATTTCGTGTTTAGACTACTGAGCACAATATGTTAAGGGTAAAACGTAAAGAAAAGGTGTTTTCTATTCGTGAGAGTTGTCAGCTATAACCCCACCTAC